ACTTTGTTTTTTTTTGGTTTTTTTGTTTTTTTCTTAGAGAAGTGTTTCTGTGTTCTCCCTCTCCTGACTACCCATGCAGCCCCTGCAATAACCTATTTTTTGCCATACCTTCCCTTATGTCAGCAAACAGCTTCATGCAATTGCGTTATGTACCAGATTAGAAAACTTACCTGCATTAAAAAAGCTAACCTAGCAAAAAAAGGCTCAAGGATTAAAAAACAAAACAAAACAAAACAAAACAAACCCAGCTCAGAGGCTCACTGAAGTTGACTACACGGCTACACGAACTCTTATGTCACCATCAGAGAGAGGCTGACAGTGACAGGCAAATAAACAGCTAGAGGACAATTGAAGAGCTCTCTCTGGTGGAATTGCAACGCTGGAGTGTGAAGCATCAGCTAACCAGCTTCACGTGCTGTAAACAGGGAGTGGTCCTACTCCTTTGCTCACTGGCTGCTGCAGGTAACCTATCCCCCTGCTGTCCCCACAAACTGATTCAATGAACGAACATACAGTAGCACAGAGGAGTCCATTAAACTGGCTAAAAGCTTTTTCTGGTTTTAGCAAGATAAACTTATTTTTTGACCAGTCAAACCAATTGATTTACCCTGCAGCCATGCAATTTCTTCATTCCAGCCCAAGCAGCTAACTGAGAAGGACGGGGAATAGAACTGCCTTTTTGAGAGTTGTTCAGATATCTGACTGTCTTGATGACAATGTCCAACAAACCCTCTGGAGTAATTTTTTTCCTTGGTGACTCTACTTTACTTTCTTCAGATGACGCTTATTTCTTTTTCTAATCACAAGGAAACATGGCTGACTATTACTCAATACCCACGTTTGTTCCCTATCACATGCCCTTGCACTCAAACCAAAAACAAAGCAAAAGACCAACACTAATGCACTGACCTATATGAAGAATAATTTCCACTGACCTATATGAAGAATTTCCACTAGAGGTTTGCAGGTTGGCAAGATCAAGCATTCTCAACAAAGGTCAACTCATGTGCGCTGTGAGATGTATGTCAACAACTCCCACAGAATGACTTATTTTACAATACAACAATGGTATCGCACCTCCATTTTCCACAGTTTTCAAACCACCTCTCCCAGAGATAAAGATCAACAATTTTCATATGTCAAATTTCTTTAACATATCTTAAGATACATAGCACTAGATAAAACGGTGTTTTATGGCAATATGGCCACTATTTATGAAACACCTACTAGAATCAACTAAGCAATGTTCTATATAATGTGATATAGAATTTGAAAAAGTAGCACAGGCCACCAAGAGGTTAAAAAATTTAATTGTTTGTTCTGATCCTCAGCTAGTATTTGTGTTCAAATTATCTTTGGACCTTGTTTCACAGATATTCAAGGAGAGCCATAATGTCCACCAGATGTCCTGGTTGGGGTTTTTTGTTGTCGTTGTTTGCACATTGGTTTTGAGTTTTGTTTGTTTGTTTTAAAACAAAGGGCAAGGTATTTCTCTTACTGAGTAATATAGATGTTGCTGTGTAATTTGAGAAAATTACACTAAGCTTATTGTGGGATACACCACAGATATGCTGTAGAGGAGCTGTACAAGAAATAATATTTCTGGAATACCGCAAATAATGTAGACGGGTTTTTGGCCAGAAGGCATGGGGTGATGGAAGCATGACTTTCATGTTTTTGAACAAACTTTCCTATGCATAATAAACATGCAAGAACACGTGTCATTAGAGGCTACACTTGTTACCTGACCATTATGACAGAGGTTCTATAAAAGGGATACTTTATGTCCGTAAAATTAACCCTTTCCTCATGTAAACTCATACATTCCATCTTCTCCAGAAATGTCTTAATTTTGCATGAAAGCAAACAAATCTATGGTATTTATGATGATGCCACAAAACAAGCAATGATCAGACTTCGGGAGAAATTCAAGCTTACATTTTGCAGTTTTCTTTAACAACTAGACTAGTAAAGTTCTTCAGCTGTAACACATGGACTAACAGACATTCGCTTCCACTGTCATGCCTGGAAAATAAATTTCCTGTGTTAGTCACCAAGCATCAATACTTTGCTGAAGAGACAGAGATGAAAGACTGAAAAGATTTAAACAATATAAAAGCACCTTTTACTGTTTAACAAACCTCTTTCACAAACCAGTTGGAACCAAAACATATCAGTTACATCAGACAAATCAGTCTGCATTATTTTAATGGGTTAATGAAAATAAATAAAAAATTCTACTCTTTCACATCAGCATGAATTTTGAAATGGAACTAACAAACCTAGTCGAGATTTGTAAACTCCCAAGCTTGGGAATTAATTTTCCAGGGGGTAGAGACGATTCTGCAGAGCTGTCTAAGATCCAACATCCTGCCTTGCACTGCTATAACCTGCCCTTCCCCGCACTGCTCCCGCTACCAACAATAGCGTGGCCCTAAGCACAGGATTTCAAAGCTGAAGTTGGGAACTGTATTTGTATTTGTGTCTCTTCACTTGTGACTTTCCTAAAGCAATCCTCCTTCATCAGGCATAAAAAGATCTCGCTTACAGAGACACGTCCCTATATCCATACTCACACTAATGGCCCAAACAATGAAAATAAATGCTACTGAAAGAAGTAATAAAGGCCCTTTTATCACCCAGGATTGAAAGGACACTGAATGAACTGTGGTCAAGACACACCTCCAGCACAAAGTGGCACGTGACTGACTAATCTGTACATCCACCAAACTTTGGCTGTCAGTTCAGAAACTTCTTACAACTATCCATTGCAATTTAGTTTAATAAAAAGTTAAAAACCAGACCCAAGAAAAGTAGTGCGCAATTCCTGCCGAGTTGACAGGGAGAAAGAGGAGGAACTACTCACAGAAATCCAACATGTATTTGTGGTTCTTCATTACTGGCAGCATCACCATAAACAGGCTCTTCCAGATCTTCACTCCTGCAGGAACAGAAAGTACTGTAAACTACATAATGACCTAAGCTATTAAAACATAATGAAATGAACATTTATTTTGTGATTTGTGGATGTAAGCAACTGCTTGGTCATACAGGAGTGACTGGTACTGTAAAAGGAATTGAAATACCTGTTTAAAAACATCTAGAAGTAGAAATTCATCATTTTAAAAAATGAGGTTTTAGAATACCTCTTTCAAGATATTTATGTTATTTTAATACTTATTCTGTCTTCCATTTCTCTTCAGCATCCTCAAAATCTTATCTTCTTCCCAATTACTTTTTACTGTGTTAAAACAACTGTATAAAGTAACACGCCTTTCTCCATCCATCAATCACTTCATCAACCTATACATTTTTAGATTTTCAGTAGTTCATAAATTTCTTCCTTGCAGTTATACTTTTATCACATGCTACTCAGAATTGTAAGTCATACTCTGTATCATTTTATTTGGTTATAGAGAGTTGAAATAAAATTACTAATTTACAACTAATAAGCTGAGAAAACTGTCTTTCAAGAGAGAACTAGATGGTGTTAAAAATGTTAGAGACGATAAAGCAAAAGGGACTTGGCACTTGTGAAGATGACAGTGGAACTGCATGGAAAATGCTTCTTTCCTTTAAAACACGCAACCTAGTATTTTTATGTTACTAAGAATTAGCAATTTTGAAAGCATATTCAGAAATTTACAACGAATTCTTTTGGACCATGTGGTAGAAGAGGAATATTTCCAGCTCACTATGCATTTATACACCTGACCTTTTGCTTAAAGCTTCAAACACGCCACTGTCACTAGCCAGTGAATGATCTGAGAGACATGCTGAAACTCGCCTGGCTCTCCTCTCCGATCTTCTACCACTGTCTCCTCGCAGAGTTACAGCTGTCATGGAGAAAAAAAGTGAAGACAACATCAGCTCAAGGCAATGTCTTAAACAAAAAATATTTATTGTATCAAAATTAGCAGCAAAATGGCACAAATGCAGTGCATTACTTTTTCATCTAACTTTAAGTTAAAAACCTAGAATACAACTAACCGCAGATTTTCTGTGGGAGAATTAAGGAAGGAAGTTTGTGTCCAATTTCTCTCTGACAAGACTAAGTATAAACCAATTGCATTGTTATTAAATGCTTTTCTGGTAGAATAATCCCTCCTGGAGGAAGACTCCTGTCAATTCAACATATGTACACATGATAAACTAAACTTTTAAGATTTACCTACTGAATATACAATAGATTGAAAACAAACACAGAGACTGATTCTTTTAAGAAGTTATCTGATAACACAATGTGAGGTTTTGTTCTCATTTGTTTCCTAATAGAAAGTTTCGAAGTATACTGTTTATACCATCGCATAATAGCAGCTTTTATTTACAGTCTGAGAGGCATTATCAAAAAGAACCAGTGCTTTCCAACTCACTCAGACCACTGTTTTTTCAAATTCTTGGTGAATGACTTTGAAAACTGACTGGGGGAGGAGGAAGCAATATTCAGCCCCCTCTTCCACCCTTCCCTGAATCATCAGCAACACCACAAATAGCAACTCAGGAATCATTTTCATGTTGTAAGTGTACCAACAAAAATTATGTTACACATCGGGTTTTGCACAGGCAGGTAGCTATAGCAGCTACCAAGGTATAGCAGCACAAGTAGTAATGCTCAAGAATAAGCTTTCAACAGTTCAATGATATTTCCTAACTTGAGGTTGTTTTCTTTCAAGTCCTGGAGAGAACCATTAAACAAACTTGTGGAAGTGCAGTTTCTTCACCATGCAGTGCAGAACTTTGACTAACTTTCCCTTCTTCTGCTTAAGGCTCAATGACTGCCCTCAAAGCAGAAAAGCAATGGCAAAGAGATGCCACTTCAAAAGTGGGGAAAGCATCTTATTTGCTTCTACTCGTGCTCAGAAACTTAAGACAGCATGGAAGCATTCACAGTTTCAGCAGACAGCATTTGGAGTGACAGTAGGACAGCGCACATCACATGGGAGACAAGCACCACCTGACATTTAGACCTTCCTGCCCCTGACTAAGGACAAAACGTATCTTACTCAAAGTAACAACTTGTTAAGTACTTCTGTTACACATTATGTTACGGTATCAAAAATAAAATGCTGATACCTAATGAGCAAGTTTGCTTCAGCAGAACGCCAACCCGTGGCCTGAGTTCTACCTGCAGAGCCCAGCTGAGGTACGGACAGTGAGCCACCTCCCTGTATGGGACCCATCTTACCTCCCACTGGAGCACCACCAGGACAGGACATCAGTCCCCCAAATTAACAGAACCACGCTGCTGCTGTCAACAGAAGCATCTGGCTAAGGTCAGCATTAACCCACTGTGGGACTGGCAGATAGGATGCAGTGAGCCTGGCAGTCCTGTGTTAGCTGGAGGTACACTCCTGTTATCAGACCACCAACAGCCCAAAATCCCAAAAGATTTTCCAAAAAAAATCACAAGGTCCTGTTTGGAGCTAAAATTCCCACACATCAGCAGAGCTAGTTCTCTGTCCTTTTGGATCCATAAGTAGCCCCATGGATCTCCCCTCCAAAATCAATGAAGGATTTAGTCATCTTCAGCTATGCAGGAAATTTATCTGCTGACCAGGAACAGCCTAATCTGCATTCGTCTCTGTGCCTGGAGAAAGAACCACTCTTCCCCCCCAACTCCAATTACAGCATCCCACCTTTACATGTTGTGCAGTGTAACTCATGTCATCCTCACCACAAATGAGAGCTAGCTCACAGAAAGCAAAGAAACTGTATTTGCACCATGCTCCCCTCCATATCACTTGTACAAAGTGGTGGGTTTGATTTCTTTTTCTTCCTTTCTTTCCCCACGCCCACTTTTTTCTCTCTCTCTCTTTTTTTTTTTTTTTTTTTTAGAACTGTTAATTTGGTGAGCCCACCTCTGAGTTCTGTTACCAGTATTTGGCATTCTGTAGAGACCTAGAGACCTCTTTTAATATAAAAGTGTCCCAATAATTTTACATCACTGGGAAGAGCCTGAATTTCACAAAGTGTATAAGTTTCGTATGAAAGTGCTTCTATAATTTCTGTTCTAATTTCAACAAGTTACACTAGGATGACTTCTTTTTGCAAATAAGCCTTTGGCTCACTCCTCTACGCCAACACTTTGTATAGATGTAGTGGATGAAAGCCCTATTGGGCTCTCTCCTTTGGAGGTTCATGTTCCCAATTTGTCTGGAAGGAAAAACTGGTCTGAAGCACCAATATAATGTCAAGAAAAACGAACATGTTATAACAATGTTGTAACTTGACAATGATTTGCTCGCTGCCTGCAGGTCATGGAAGCATTCGATAATATCTGGAATTTTGGAGAGATGCAAACACGAAAACATGCCCTTGACTAGAAAAAAGAAAAAGTCAGCAGGAAAAAAAAGCAGGAAAAACTGGTCAAGAAGAAAGAAACATCAGATTTTGATTTAAACAGAACAGGTTTATCACAGGTTACAGACCTTCCAATGCTGGAAGCTAAAGAACTGTTTAAATATAAAGTTTCTAAGATAGACAATTACCTTTCATTTTCTTATTTAAATAACAAAATCAGTGAACAATATATACAAATTTACAGAACTACTGGGTGCCAGAGCTTGGTAAATATAAGACAGCCCTGACTAAAAGAATATTCTCAGGCTTCATTAGCTGAAAAAGTGAACTTCAAAGGAAATTTTGGTGTCCAAGACTTCACTAGCTAAAAAAATACATAAATAAATACGTCAGCTCAAAATGCACTAATAAGAGAGACAGTCTCACAAAAACTAAATCAGAGACACAGACCTTACCTATCATGACGCTGTCAGGCATTACTATGACATAATAAAGCTGAAGCTCACAGAACACTTTTTCCAGGAATCTAACTACAGCCATGAATATATTGTTTAGTTGACATAGCAAAAAATCAAGTATGCCATAATGATTAAACAGATACAGCACGATATCAAACAAAACCAAATGTAGCAAAATCTCCTGTTTCTTCACATGCAACTCAAAAAAAATCAAAAAAAACCCAAAAAAACACAAAACACCAAAACCAACCACCAAAACTCAACACTTCACACAAAAAACACACTGGGAATTACAGGCAAAACCAGCACAATAAGTAATTCCAGGTTCACTTACAGTGAATTTTTCTGTTGTGCCGCATGAGAAACAAGACAAAATGAAAAGCACACAATGATAAATCATCTTTTAGATCTATGACAATATTTTACAAACAAGATATTATCTAGGCATTAAAGGAAACTTAGCATTTGAAAGATTATTTTAGGATAGAGAGATATTAAAGCCCAGTATTTTATTAACATCTTTCCTCCCACTCCCAGCTTTATACATACAACAGGTTTAACCTCTCGGGCATATTCCCTCTATTCACACATGCTAACATATTTCACAGTACGTCCCTGAGACAGATGCAGAACAGTAAAACAGCACATCAGCAACTGAACATCAGAACTGCAGTTCCTGAAGAACTCCTTGAATTTATCAAGTGTTGCTTCAGTGCAAAGCATTTGCAGTTTATTCAGTGTTAACCCGCCCGGCCCCCCGAATTTGCAAAAATTACCTCGTGTTTTGTCTAGGGAAGGAACGGGAGAAAGATTGTCCAAGGTGAGACTTACTGGTTCCTCAGCATCGCATTATGCTACCAGACCATTGGGTGGCAGCAGCAAAGCACACTGCATAGTACCTTAGTGAAAACCAAAACCCCCCAACATCTGGGGGTTCCCAAACTATGATATACGAGCTTGACGCTCCATTAAACTCTTCAAGAAAAGAGTACAAAACGAAATAATTTCAAAACTTCCAACCCCTACTTGCAAACAACTGCATTATAATTGCAAACCCACCAGCTAGTGAGTGTGGAGTTCAAAGTAGTCATGACTCCAGCCAAAATCAGAAAGATTAAACAAATTTTTCTTAAGCAATTGTTTTCAAATTCAAATATTTAAAAAAATAAATAATAATCTCAAGAAATAATTCAGCCTAGCTACCTTTTAACCACATATTCTTCCTCAAAAAGCAACACAAAGCACTCCGTTATACACAGAGAAAAGTAACCCCTGGGCTAGGAGCTGGACACCACAGCAGAGACAGTAGGTAGCACAGGCATGTTCTGCCAGAGGTTTTCAGAGAAACGTGAAACATGTGGAAAAGTGACAGAGAAGGGATAAAAGGAAAACCAAAGCAGGAACTTGACCCTCATCCTAATGCTCCCTAGGCCTTCAGACCAGGCCTTCGCTTCTAGGAAACATGTACAAACTATAAATGAACTACTAACATAGTTTCACTTACCACAATGGGTGAAGACATGCTGTGGTCTGATCTGAGGTTTAAAGAAAGCCTCAGGAAGTCTCTTCATGGCACTAATTTAAGCACAAGCTTACATGCTGGTCTCTGGAATTCTGTTTATTTTGGTCTGAAAGCTGCAATACGGGCACTAGAAATGTTTATATCTAGTAAATGTAAATTCTACAGCAGTATCTTCTGGCAATGATAGCTGCGTTAAGGAAAGTAGGTGAGTCTAGACTCAAAAGCTGTTTGAGCAATACAGGCTTTGTAACATAGTGGTGACATTTTCTTTTTAAAAACAAAAAACTGGAAGCTTTTCCTTAGACACTGTCAACGTTCCTGCTCATTATCACTTGACAAGATTTTGGTAAGGTAATATGATACATTTTCTGGCTATACTTCACATTACCCCTGACGTCATAAGTCCTGAATAAAACATTCTATGCAATTGCCAACACAGAATTCAGGATATACAAATGGGATGTGAATTAAAATTTTTAATGTTAAAAATATTCTCTGAAAGCCCTTCTCTACTGGTATGGTTTTACTAGAAATACAAGCAAGCCAACACACAAAAACATCATCATGAAGGAATACTTTTTCAATTTAACAGCAGTTTTTCATTTGATGGATTAAAACAGGAAAATAAATTTCTCATGTGCCTGTATGCTCAGGTTTTTAATTTTGTTTCTTTTAAAAGGTTTCTCTTTCCTCTTTTGATCTCTCTAATTTATGTTTCTCAATTGTAGTGCCTCAGAAGCTTCCACTAATGCAAGCTAAAGCAAGTCCATCAACTTGTGAAGTAGGAAAAGAAAACAGCGTGCGCGCCGTGGTAAACGCACACATCGCTCCTCTGCAATCACAGAGCACAGGTTCTCTTGAGACCATCACCCCAAGCAGATGCTTAACCTCTCACACATCCCCTACAAAAGACTCTCCTTGGCTGACAAAGCAGTCTACTCATGAGCACACCACATCACGCACTTGTGACCGCCATGCCACCGTGGCTTCTGCTCCATCACTGAACTTAGACATGGGAACCTGGTCTGGGGTGTGTATGAATTCAGCATGGTGTCAGCCAGCCTTCAAGCACTGTTGGCAGCATCACCTCATGCCTGGTTTTGTGTTTGGGTTTTTTTTGGGGTGCTGTGGGTTGGGGGTTTTTTCCTACCTCCCCTGTGTTTGTGTTGCTTTAAATTATCAGGACGATCGCAACATGGGCACAACTGGGCCTCAGAAGTAACTAAACCATGCTTTTTTTGATCAATTCAAGACCAAAATATTTATTCCTTGATGCGCTATAGTCCAAAGAAAGTCTGTATTCCACTTCCTTTCTTCCACTCCTTTAAGATCTATTTACAAGGATTTCTCTACTCTTTCACCTCGTTCCCTAAACCTAAACTTTGGGGGTTTGGGGGTTTTTTGGTTGGTTGGTTGGGTTTTTTAACCACTAACATCTACTATATAATTTTCAACTGATGGAAGTAAAATAAGCCAAACTGAGTAATAATCTCTACTGTGGTAGCATGCTTAGGTCTGCATGACATTTCCTTGACAACGTGACAAAATAATACCATCCAGAAACTCACCTCCCCCAGTTTGGACAGCAGTCAGCTGTGGTCCCATTTCTCGCAGCACTTCATTGTCCACAGGGTAAGTGGATGCCTGAGATGAGCTTGTTCCTTGTGTATCATCATCACCCAAGGCTGCGGTCTGAGCCCTGAGCATTTCCAGGGCTCCTATGCTTGCCATCTCCTCAAAACCTTCTGACATCTGAGCCAAGGGAGAATCTCGAGATGCAGAGAGAAACGGGGTGTCCAGAGGTGAGCTTGGAGGGGACAACGATGACAAGGAGGACCGTGATGACAGGGACGCCAGGGACTGCGGGGTATCCAGAGACCTCCGCTGCTTATTGAAATTTGAGTGTCCAATGGGATCAGCATATGGCACATCCTTTGTGAGAGACTCGAAGGGAATTATGTCAAAGCGTAAATGCTGCCCGTAGTCTGTAATGCTGTCTGATTTGTCGTACTGTGGAAGGCCATAGATGTCTGTAAAGCTGACCGAGCTGAGGGAGCCTCTGCTGGAGGCCAAGGATCCTCGACTGGAGGCCAGGGATCCCCTGCTGCTGCCAGAGGACATTGTGAGGGTGCTAGCCGACAGACTACGGCAGGCCAAGAAAGAGAAAACAAACAAGACCCTCTCAAATACAATCAGAAACACCAGCACAGGCATAAAAATATCAATCCAGATCACTCAAGCAATTTTACATGTATTCTGTACAGTGACACAGAGAGATGATTTGGCATTTTAAGGTCTAGCTCGTGTCTCTTGCCCTGGTCTCAAGCACAACCATGACTGGAGCAGCACAAGTGACAACCAAATCAAGACCAAGTGCCTGAAGACAAATGGTCCAACAGGATGAGCCTACTCTTTCCTCCAACATGTAAGCGGCCCTAATTTGGCAGAAAAGAGGCCAGAGCAGGATCTGGATCAGTGGACTCAATGTAAAGCCAGGAAGGGTAGATTACCATGATCCAGCCTGAATTTATGTTAAGGATGGACCATAAACATATCAGGGAGAAAAAGTGCAAAGGGATTTGGAAAGTCCTAACAAACTGCTGTGTAAGCCTCACCCTCACAGGTTTTTCCAGTGCAAAATAAAAAAAAAAAAGACTTCAGGATTAATCCTATTCCAGTTCCTTTTGCGACTCTCAGACAGTTAGGGAGAAAAGAGTGTAAGTGACAGAGAGAGATGAAGTGAGACACAGCAGGAACTGGGCTTTTGATGTTGGCATGGTGTTGAGCTGAGGAATCCCCAGGAGCTGTGTCTAAAAAGGCAGCTGTAAGTGTGAATATGCAAAACATTCTGGGCTTCTATGTGGGTCTTAACACATTCTCATATTTAAATGGCAAAATTTTGTCATCTCACCAAGGGATCAAAAACTCCTCCTTTGGAAAAGGTACGAAAATATTAAAACCTCACTTAAAAGAATGTTATCTTCATATTAGTAAAACTGTAATGATATTACAACAGGTTTTAAGTACGTATCTTCTTTTAAGAAAAGAAGATAACAAATAACATTCCCAAATACACATAATAATCCAGCCCAAATAGCCATCATTAATACTATCATACACAGTCAGACAAGCAATCTGCAAGGTAATCAGCCCCCTGAGCTGGAAGGTGGGGACCAAGAGCAGGATAAAGCCCCTGTAATTCATGAGGAAGCAGTTAAAGACCTGCTTTGCCACCTGGACACCCACAAATCTATGGGGCCGAATGGGATCCACCTGAGAGCACTGAGGGATCTGGCCAAACCACTCTCCATCAGTTATCAGAAGTTCTGGTCAACCGGGGAGGTCCCAGACAACTGGAGGTTTGGCAATGTGACACCCATCTACAAGAAGGGCCGGAAGGAGGATCCGGGGAACTACAGGCCTTTCAGCCTGACCTCGGTGCTGGGGAAGGTTATGGAGTGGTTCATCTTGAAGGTGCTCACATGGCATGTGCAGGACACCCAGGGACTCAGCCCACCCAGCATGGGTTCATGAAGGGCAGGTCCTGCTTAACCAACCTGATCTCCTTCTATGACCAGGTGACCCGCCTAGTTGATGAGGGGAAGGCTTTGGATGTCATCTACTTTAACTTTAGTAAAGCCTTTGACACTGTCTCCC